TGGTCCCTCAAGCAACCAGGCCCTATTTAACAACTTTAACTTTAGTGTCAGTTAATAAGAATATAATCTTTAGCAAGAAACAGCAGGAAGAGGTCCTTTAGCTAAATGTGTACCATTGCACGTTTCCCTGTTGGTCAAATGGGAAACAGAGAAGCAGTGATTTGGGAAATAATTTTTTTCAGCACTTTGGAGATAGTATATTGGGCTAGCAAAAGTGTTGACCAGTGATCTTAGAATTGGGAGGATTAACCCTCCAATTTGGTCTCCTTCCTCAAAACATGTTCCAACTAAGCCACCCCTCAGTCTTACTGATTTATTCAGGAATTCTGAGGATCAAAGCCAGAAAGTAGATGCTCTTCACAAAAAAGAGCTATGTAAATAGTTCTAGATACCACCAAGATGTCAGGTAAGGTATTGTGTCCCATAGCATTACCCTTTGACCAAAGATCATCCCCCAGAAACACCAGCCCAAGATACAGGCCCTGAAAGCAATCCTGGCAACCCAAACATTTTTGCATTTAAATATTTAAATTTGATATCCACTGATATCAGTACTAGTTATTCTTTCTTAAGAATACTTCAGGATAGCATTCTTAATGTTCATTCCACCAAATACACAAACTTTCACAATCAGATACATTGGTTTGGCACCAGAAAGTTTCTTCTCTTAGAACAGCATCCTCTAGGTTTGAAGACTTCTCTTAACATTTTTTTTTCAGTTAGAGTGAGAGCCATTTGATCTTAATACATTGCATGGTCCATCTGAACAGCCATGTCTATGTCCAACTGTGTAGTCAAGAAAGCTAGTCTCACTAAAGGTTATATAATAGAGCCTACAAATCTTCCTGAAAACCGAGTATATATCAGTGCATTGGTGTTGGTTTCAAATAAGAACTTTTGGTATTAATTCATTTATTCAGTGACATCATCATGACTCATACTGGGCCAAATTCCTCTGATCAATTAAAAAAAAAGTGACTGCTAATTTGAAGATATTTCAAAAAGTGATGTTTTAAAAGACATCAGTGTCAACTCTGGAATCACCAAAAGCATGGCCCGAGATTTATTGGGCTGACACTTTGAATAAAACAGCTGCTACATGCCACCAAGCCTAGCTCAATGCTGCTTTTTTAAATGGGATTGTTTGCCTAGAAAAGCAAGCAAAAGCCAGGCCTAGAAGAGGCACCTTTTGATTGCACATACTGAACTGAATTCCTGGCTAATAAATTTCCCCACACCTTTGTCTGAACGAAGGGAGGCAAAGGTCTACATTTTCTCACAAGCATGCACAAGCCTTATCCTAAGTCATATGGCTTTCTAACTCTAAATCTCACCCTTTGTTGACTTAAAGAGTTTGTCTGAGCGACAACGGACATTGTGGATTTGTTACTTCTGTCATCTTTTCTACCAGTGCACTTTGCTTCAGATCAAAGTTGAAAGCTCTTAAAAAAAATACACAAACCACAGTGACAAATAGCTTGCTTTGTTTGACATAGCAAAGCAAACAAGAAATTGCTTTAGTTAACCAAAAAAAGAGAATCCTCTCTTTTCTGCCTTCTCTTTCTGAAGCCCTAAGATGCTAAAAAATAAGAGATTTCTTTCATGATCAAGCAATGAATCTCTTTTAAAATTTTAAGTAGGTTGGCAAAAATAAAATCATCTGGGCAGTTTTGAGTTTTTCAAAACTCAGAAAATACTCTTCCAATTTCCCTAAAGTAGACAACCTGTCTTTTAAAACATTTTCTCTGCCTTTAATATATACTCTATGATTGCATAGTATATAGATCTATCAATAAAGTAATACATTAGCACTTAGTAAGCAAATAACATTAAAAAAATACTGATTTTATTTATTATGAAATTTTACAAATCTGGGCCTATGTTTAATAGAATTTGAAGCAAAGTCAAAATTCTATTACCACAGAATCCGGACCATGGAAATTCAGCCCACATAAAATACACCATGAGAACATACTATACATTCTTTGATCATACGAGATATGGCTTACTTTTCACAAAGTGGTAGAGAACCATATTGTTCCAACAAGTTTTCGGTGTAGACAATGGATCTGGCTATTTTTGTAATTGATTATCTCTTTTATGTTGGTTCAAGGTGGTTATATTTTTGTTGTATTATAAACTGACTTCCAGTCTTTGGAAGTAGTCAGTATGGAAGTCACTGGAGGGAGGGAGGGATAGATAGATGGACAGATTGATTAACTGATTGATTGGCTGGTTACAGTCTGCCCAAAGTTACATAATAATAGATTTGGTAATACTGAATTGCAAAGCTATGTCTGAGCCCACATATGAAGTTTGCTTTTTTGTGACTTAGCATACTAATATCTAAACACAGACAATTGTGGTTTATTCAATAAACAACAATTAAAACACAGCCTGGCTTAGTATTAAGTGTGAATCCAATGAGTACACTAGAAGCAAATTGTGCTAAGAAAATCAAATCTGAACTTCCAACGTAGAAGCAAAATGGTTTGTTCTTCATACAACAATCTCGTAGTTTTTATCCTCAAGAAAAACACAGATCAGATTTTTATGCTTGTGATAGTTATATTATTATATTATCGTTGTTGAGTAAACGGTAGTAGACATGTTAAAATGAAGTGCTTTGACCAAACCAAAGAACCACACAATTCATTGACTCACACTGTATTAACTCATGATTTGCTTAACAATTAGCTGAGCTCACACAACATGCTAAGGTACATCTAGCAAACAATCTTATGGCTAAGCATAGAATTTGAATCCCACAGCTATGTATGCCCATAGGATTTTTAACTGTGTTTTCTAAGCAAAATTCCCATCTCTCCTTCTTTGTTTCATAGCAAATCCCTGTTGATATCAAAAGGAATTTCAGAAATTATTTTCGGTAACTGAAGGGGGTAGCTGCTCAGAGAATGCTAGTATTTCAACATCACTGTATAGTTAGTTATCAATAACAGTACATGCAATTTTATTCCATTGTGAGTCACCCTGAATGCTTTTCAGAACTAAAGCACAGGAATGACCACATATATTAAGTAAGCAGCATATGCAAAAAAGAATAAAAACATCAAAAAGCTTTTGTGGTACATCATCATCATCATCATCATCATCATATCATCAGGCTTTTGAAGAAATAGAATCAATTCCTGATTGCTTATGCTGTGATCAGTCTGTTTGTCTTTAAATGCCAGAGGAATCTTAAGTGCTTTGGCTACATACTAGAAAAAAATATGGAGTCAAAAATTCTAGGCATAGAGTAAAGGTGCAAGAATACTGAGATCCTCATCCTGGGAAAGACCCAGATGATACTGGGACAAAAATCAAACATACTAAACGAATATTGGCCTATCAAACTCACAATTTAAAGCCCCATTTTAAACCTCTAAATAAAATAAATATAAGGTACAGTATACAGATTAAAGTTGGTCATTAATAAAAACCCATGTGCAGGAGTGTATATTAAAATGGCACTCCCACTACCTGAGATTTCTTTCTCAAAATGGCACACATACATGGCCTAATTGACAGTTGTACAGTACTCCAAAATTTCCATCATGCCTTTTCAACTGGGAATTAAATGGAGATTTCTGCATGCTGAGCATGAATCCTATTTAAGACTAGCTGACCTGGGAAGGCTTTTTTCAGTTTGGTGGCCCTCCAAGTATTTAAGTTTCAACTCCCATAATCCCATGTCAACTGTCCAAAACAGCTGGAGGGCATCCCAGTGAAAAAAGCTATCTCTAGCAAGAAAGGGAAGTATGGGTGTCTCCAATGATGTACAGCCCTTGACTAGATTCACAACATGCTCAGAGAAAATATTAAGATATTGTTTGCAAAATTTGAGAAAATTTGGGTTATTTGTAAAGTATGGTTGATGGTTTAGTGTCTTGTGCAAACCTGCAGTTCTGATTTAATCAATAAATTGTGGTTAAATAAACCTTGACTTAGCATGAGCACTGCTAGCATGCTATTCTGCATGCCCACTCATCTAATTTTTATGGTGAATCCCTTTCAAACCACAAATAACACTCAAATAGCGTCATTTAGGAGTACACAGGCACAGCATCTAGGGGATCTTGGTTAATCTTAATAAACTAAGTTAGACCTGGTTAGTCCTTGGATATGGATCATCCAAAAATCCTGGGTGTGTAGGCAGTCAAAAAATACATTGGGAACTGTACAGTTTGGAAGAAATCTGCACTATCCATGAAGTCATCAGGAATCAAGCTTGACTTGAGGGAGTATCATAGTTCCTTATACTCACAACTAACTGATTCTAGATCATCTCAAATTAGCTCCAATCCAAAGGAAAAGATTCTATATTTTATTTTTGTTAATTAAACCACCCAACAGCCAAAGCTCATTTGGGCAGTTTACAATACCCCCCCCCAAATAATAATCCAATTTGAGTTTAAACATATCCAATAAAAACAAATAAAATCCAAAATAAAGACACCATACAAACTAGGCAGCAGCCAGGCGGTGGTCCAAATCTAAGGCAATGGAATTAATCAAAACACGATGAAAAAGCTTGGGAAAACACCAAGGTCTTCCCCTGGCACCAAAATAATGCTAATGTGGGCGTTGGGCATGCCTCTCTGAGAAGGGCCTTCCATCAATGGGGTGCCACCAGAGAAAAGGCTCTCTCGCTTGTAGAGACTCACCTCACCTCACCTCAGGCCTCAAAGCCAAGCTGAAGAATAGCCACCAAACCTGGGGGACAGACGGAGGGGAAAGGCTCACCCGCCCCCCGCCCCCCGGTCTCCTAGCATCCCTGCTCAACTTTCCTCTCAAGGAGGGTTACCAACCCTGGGCTGCAAACATCCGGACGACCCCTAGATGGCTGCAAAGAAGTACCAGACTTCCAGCTGGATTCCCTCAGCTCCTACCTGGCAGCCCTCATGTACGAGGCCTCCAGGAGGCCCCGCCCCAAGGGAGAGAGAGAGGGGCGAGCGGGAGGACCGGCAGGCGCCTGCGCGTCCCCTTGGCCTCGCGCCCCAAAGGAGCTCGACCGGCCTTCCGGGGCTCGCAAGTCGTTTTTGTGAGTCCGGTTGCTTAGCAACCTGGGGCCCAAGCCGAGACAGCAGCAGGCGGCGGCGGCGGCGGCGCTCCCGGGTGCGGAGGGGATCGAGCTGTTTCTGGGTCCTGAAGAGAGAGGAGGACGCCTTCGGGATAATATTAGCCCCAGAAGCGCCTGAGGTGGCGGCAAGTGCTTGGGGGCGGGGCGGAGGGGGCGCGACGAAAGGGGAAGAAGTGCAAGGGGTCCATATTATAGCGGTGTTTTTCAAACTTGGCCATTTTGAGATGTGTGGACTTCGACGCCACACATGCTGGCTGGGAATTCTGGGAGCTGAAGTCCATGGATCTTAAAGTGGGCAAGTTCGGAAAACACTGTATTATAGGTTGCCATTATCCTTATAGGTTAGGACAGCATCCCCAGCATGGTGCCTCCAGGGGTCCCATTGAAGGCCTCTCCTCATTCTCAGGGGGTGGGTTACAATGACTGACTGGGGATGGGGGTGGGGAGTTCGATGCTGTCATATCTAGGGCACTCAGGGTTGGGGGCGACAGGATCCCCTCCACATGTTGGCCCTCACGTTCCTCAGTTGCCCAGCCAGTGATGATGGGTGTTGGAATTTCAGCCCCCAGTGTTTGGGGTCTGCCAGGCCATCTAACACATATACCTCCCAAACCTGATTTCCCACCCAACCACCAAGCACTGTACATAAAGAGGAAGCAAAATAAAGGCAGGCATGCCTACAGGTTCATCATCCAATAGAAATATACAAAAGAAAGAGAAATTAAGATGGAGAAGAAAGCGAGAGCTCCTTTCTGCAGTACTGGATGGAAGCCAGATCAGTCTTCCTTTTGCCACGGTAGCAACAAAGGAAGGTAGACCATCCATAGTCAGTTCTTGGACTGCAGACTGATAGCAGAAGCCAATGCGATGCCCTTCAACTCTCTGTCCAGGACAATTGCAATATATCCCATCTTTCCTCCAAAGAATTCCCTTGTTAACCTCACAATAGCCCTGTAAGGTACTTTGTTAAGACGTATATAACCCAATGAAATTCCTGAATCTAGGTCACAACCTAATCTTATTTTCACATTAAACTACCCAAATTGCATTTTTTACTGATTCTGTTTAATATATTTTAAAAATTGATCCAATGTACACTCAAAATGCTGTAGAATATTTTAAAACAATTACAGTAGTATAATACTAAATGTGTCAGATTGCAAAGTTTAAAAAGGTAACAGAAGTAACAATAAGATATTGATACTTATGGCATATGACTACTCAGTCTTTGCTTTAGTATCTCCTTACACCATTTTTGGGTAAATCATTGGCAAGTGTAAACTCAGAATCTTTCATTTAAACCTGCTGGTTTTGCTTCTGTACACAAATTTGATCCATATATATATGATATCCCATTATTTTAAAAACTGCATTTAAATTACATTTCTTTGTTAAACATATGCCCAGCTCCTTCTGCTTCTCCCCATAAGCTTGGGATCCAAGCCCTTCACCAGCACTGCCATCTTCTTCCAAAAATATTCCAGTTCTTAAATAGCAACATTCAGAATACTTAGGACATTTTAGAATAAAGCTTAATTTTAAGGTTTCATCACTATTTTTTTAGAGTCTTATAAACCAAGAATTTTGAAGCTATGGAGCGCTATACTGTATGTTGCTAAAGTGCAATAGCCATCATGACCAATAATAATGTATGCTGCCTGGAAGTTACAGTTCAGCAGCGTAAGGAGGGCCACAGGCACTTACCCTTAACTTCTGTGAAATTAGCTCTTCCAAATATTTCCCCTGAGCTCTTTGGGACTGACACCTGTATCAGTAGAAATATGGAAACCTGTTCTATGGCAGTCATCTCTAATATTGGACCTCTCTTACAAGAACATTTACATTAAAGTAATATGGCAGTAAGAACATACACCAACCATATATTTTAATTGCCATGCTGTTTATTTAATGTTTTTATTTGGTGCTTTTTTGTTTGCTTGTTTATAGGAATGTAATAATTTGGTAATGTATGCTGTCAATAGCAGGACCTCATTAAAGATATTGAAGATAGGGAAATTATCACTGCCTCCTGTTCCATGATGCAAAAGAAATATTTCAAGGTGCACAGATCATATAATTGTAAAACATGCTAAGAAAGAGCTTTGAAAATAAAAGCTTTATAAATAGGCCGATTTAATGCATATAAAATGTTATCTACTGCTATAATTGTTTTAATGTGCAGTTGCTTTGGAAAGCAGAAGTAGCCTTAGGTTTTATTTTTAATTACACTGAAGCAAAATATGTTTAGGCATGTCAAACTTTTATAGTTCATAATGAGTTTATTGCACACAATAATTATGGGTTCAGTAATTAAAAGTTTAAAATTGCTGCTATTTTATTTAATATAAATGATAAATCAAAGATTTCTTTCTGCCTTTATATAAGTTAAAGTTGGGATGTGTCAAATATCAATCTTATGTTTCATATTGTGGTAATTGTATATTAGTAAGACTTCAAACATGGGAGTTGTATGGGTATAAAGGCTCTGTCAGGTTAAAAAAATCATTGGCTAAAGGCTGAATTTCTTTTGTTGTTTAATGTGCTGTACATATTCATATATAACAGTAATTTATAATAATAATTATGAAACTTATTTTAGGGGAGTTCCTACAAACAAGAGTCTGTAGTACTTACTGCTGTGGCATTACAAGATCACATTTTACATGATCTTCAACTGCAAAATCTTTCATTAGCAGATCCTTTAAAGTCAAAGACATGGAGTAAAAAACATAAGTACAGACCTGTGAACAAAGAGACAATCAGATCAGTTATAGATACTGGACTAAAAAAACCAAACAAACAGCCAAACAACCAAAACAACCCAAAAAATGAAGATCTAGAAAAAGAATATGTTCTTGATCCAAGTCCTCAGCCTCTGACTTTAGGTAAAACCTTAATTTTCCAGTCTGTGCATGTTTGCTTTTTATAAACATTTAATGCCTCTGGGAGTATGGAAGGATTTGGCGGCATACAAATTTAATAAATGTAAATGCTATTTAGATTATAATAAAGAGATTTTTCCATATTGCACAATAGCAAAAGAATACAAGAAGAGCTGCTCATTCTTACAAGCAACTTTCTCTATTTTGCATTTCAGCTTTTGTTTGCAACAGTATTAGATAGACATTTCTTGGAAAGTTATAAGCGGGGATGAGAAAACAGTTATTTCTTGTTTACCTAAGCATTTTGGATTCTGAGTTTTTCTGTCTCTGAGCATTACATAAAAACAAAAGCCTACTTCATCTCAATTCAATATAACTTATTTTGGATAAGAACACATGTGAACTGGAGAAAGACTCTCAAACAAATTTTAATTGATTGCAGTGATTAGAAAAATATCATTATCATTATGATATTGCTGCTGACCATGTCATTGATCATCACATTCTCTCGTTTGCTTACATGAAGAGAAATCTGAGAGAGAATAGGAATGCATCCGTGAACATAAAATGTGTTGTATTAAGTAACCCCTGAAAATATCCAAATCTAATGAATCTATCTTAAATAAAAGGCAATGCCACCAGGTTAAGGAGAATTACTTAGAAAATGAACCTTTCCTCTGCCCCCATGTCTCTTGGGTAGATACTTTAAATTGATTTCTACTGTGATAAATAGCAAAAACCTTACTGCAGTGCCAGGATAAAAAGTTTTGTCATTAGGAAGAAAAGTCTTTGTACAGCAAGAAGTGAACATACCACCCAGTGAAACTACATTAGCACCATCTAGAGTTGCCTTCTACTATAATGGGGATAAGTATTTGGGCAACTGTTGCTTTTACAAAGAAAACATTTACTAGGCTGGGCATAGTTTGGTTTTTTTTAAATAAAACTTCCTTTTAACTACCTTTTACTCAAAAATGTACAAGCTGTGTTTTCGTAATGATCTGGGGAGCAAATCCATGAATAATGCCTGTAGCTAAACACCCAACTTCAAACCAAGAAACAAGAGATGTACTGTATTGTAATAAAGGGTATGGATGCAGAAGTTTCCTGCCTGGGGAAACAGGAGGTGCAGCAGCAACACATTATACTGTCATGAGCTAATAACGTTACATGGTCTGACTAATAACTAGGAAGAACTACCGAGCTGCCACTTTTACCCTTTGTAACTTTTGTTTACAAGAGTTTTCATCCTTTTAAATCACCAGTAGAAATGTATTGGAGAGCTAGTGTGATGTAATGGTCGATGGCACAGTGTAGAAACTAGGAGACTGTGAATTACAGTCCTGCCTTAGGCACAAAGCCAGCTGGGTGACCTTGGGCCAGTCGCTCTCTCTCTGCCCTGGGAAGAAGGCAATGGCAAATCACTTATGAAAAACATTGCCAAGAAAAATTCAGGGACTTGTTCATGAAGTTACCAGGAGTCAAGAATGACTTGAAGGAGTGCGCGCGCGCGCACACACACACACACAAGAAATGAATTGAGTTATCCAGCACTATCTCCCTCCTGTTTTGCCTCCCATCCATTCTTGTTTTTAAAAGTAGTGTGTTTCTGTTCCAAGATTGTGTAGTTTAAAAGCCCAGCCCTGCAATCATATATTTAGAAAGCTATAGAAGATATATTTCTGTGTATGTGTGCTAATGCACATTGGTATGTTGATTTGATGGTGTCAGCTATCCACATATATCATCTACAGAGTGATATGCACTGAAGAGAACTAGGTGGAGCTGCTGGGAGTTGTAGTTCAACAACATTCAAATATTCACAGATTTCCCAGCTTTGCTCTGTTAGAATGCAGTCGTTGCAGAACATCTAAGAAATATTAAAATCTGCTCAGACTTAAAAGAGATTTAAGAATATGCTTAAATAATGCTTTGTTTAACTGTTTTTATGATCAGTTTACTTGGTGGATGATACTTCACTAAGCCTGAGTCGCATCTATTCAGATAGATAAACTCTTGTTTCAGGGAAAATTAAAATGACCAAATTGCTCTTTGTCTTAATAAACCTGGTCTTCATGCTGAAGTAGGCAAATAAAAATTTAGATAAAGAAATGGGGTTTGAAGTCTACAGAATAAGATATTTTGGTGGTCTATTTAATTTTAGTTGGGGTTGTTTGTTTGTTTAGTTTGGGTTTTGCTCATTATCACCCAGTCCTGCAAACATTCTTTCAGACAGAAACCCCAGTGTGGAATCCAGAAGTATTGGTTGCCTGAGAAAAATGTGGTATACCTGTCAAATTCCTCTGTCATATGGCACATCTGCCTACTTAAAGAAGGGAGGCTTAAGCAAATTTAGTTGCAATTCTGTAGCGTACTGTACATCCATGCCTGAAGTACCCATTTTACACTATGAAATGTCTTTCTAAGCAGATATGCAGGGGATTTCACTGTTGATGTATCACTTAAAAATAGGATTTTATGTTAATACACATGTGTGTATCAATATGCATATTTCTATGCATTTGTACACATTCCAGTGATGGCTAGTTTTTTTGTCTCAGCAGTGATTCCTGACAATTATTTACAAGACCAAAATGTGCATTTCTGTTGCCCCTAAGAATTCTCCCATTAGGTTTCACTCTTTTTTTTTTTTAGATTTTTTATCCCACCTTTATTATTTTTATAAATAACTCAAGGCAGCG